AAATCAAAACAGGTGTCCCTCTGGGTGTTGGATTACAAATCATTACCCTTTCCTCCTGATGGGGCAGCTCCGTGCCAGGAAACATGGACTGGAAAATGGAGCAGTCCCTGGGCTCCCCCTTCACCTGGATGCCTCTGGGCAGAGCACAGATGGCAAGAGCTTGCCTTAAGGACCTTCGCCTGTCTGCTCTCCTTCAGACGAAGCTGTTCCCAGTTCCTTCTGTGGTTTTCTAGGAATACCCTTGCCATCTTGATCCGTCTTCTTTAAATTCATGGCTTTCTGGCCAGCAGTGACCTTGTCCTGGATATTTTGCTTGGATTAATGCCTCGGAGTGTGTTGGGTTTCAGCAGCCACGTCACAGCTGACGCATTAAGCTGTCATCTGAAGCCCACATGTTGCACTCAGACTTCCTGATGCCGCCATATTATCAGCCTCCTTCTTGTTCCGTTTGGTTCACTCTTTGGACCTCTTGAGAGTTTTAAAAATATGGATTTTTGTCATCCACTACTCTCTCCTAGTTTTATACCAGCTGAAATCTGGTATCCTCATTCAAATAATTAATAGCAGTGGATGCCAGGACAGGCCCCTAGCTCCATACTGCCCACTCTAGGTCCTGGGTAGCCCGGTCCTCCTTGGACACAGGTTCTCAGTAGTCAGAAGCCCATCCAGCTGTACTTTATACAGCCCATGTTCTCCCAATTTTCCCTCTCAGATGTCCTGCTGAACCCAGATATACCATGGTTATTGTGTTTCCTGAGAAAATAGTATTAATCTGACCACTTTTTCTTGAACCCATGTTGGCTTCTTGTGATCTTTGCTTCCTTCTCCAAATTCTAGAAAACCAGCTTTTCTTGTACAAATTTTATACCAAATACACTAAAGCAAGAAACTGCCTTTTTTAAAAATTCTGGTACTGGAAGTTGAACCCAGGGGTGCTCTACCACTACATCTCCAGCTCTTTTTTGAGACAGGTTCTCGATAAGTTGCCAAGCTGGCCTTGAACTTGTGATCCTCCTGCCTCAGTCTTCCCTGTGGGATTTTAGGTGTCTGCCACCTCACCCAGCAAGAAACCAGACATTTTTCAAATCAGAACTATAGTTACATATTTTGTGGATTTCAGAACCATTTCCATTTATATGACAGAGATTTCTATTTTTCTAGGCACTTTTTTAGAAATATAAAGGCGAGAAGTATAATCCCTGCCCTTATGACGACAGTTAGGTGAACCAGCGATGTCTGGAAAAGGAGTAAATTCTTTGCTAGAGCCCTCACAGGTTGCCACATGAGCTTAGAGAAGTCAGGGAAGACTTCCTGGAAGAGGTGTTTTTTGAACCATATGCTCCCAGCAGGATATAAGACCAGACTTTTCCCCATAAGGTCCAGCACCTGCCATGCTTCCCCATAGGCTGGCTCCCTGGAAGAATCTGTGGGGCAAGCCAGTGCTCTTCTGGCCAGCACATCAATGGATGCTGTTTATTTTATTTTTATTTTTATTTATTTAGGTACCAAGGATTAAACCCAAAGGTGCTTAACCACTGAGCCACATCCCCAGCCCCTTTTATATTTTTTTAGAGACAGAGCCTCCCTAAGTTGCTTAGAGATTCTCTAAATTGCTGAGACTGGCTTTGAACTTGTGATCCTCTTGCCTTAGCCTTCCGAGCTGCTGGGATTTCAGGCATGTAACACCATGCCTGGTACAGTTCAGGTTTAAATGGTGGTGAAAGACAGCCCCAAGGAGAGTAGGGCTGCTCACTGGGCAGAACCAGGCCAGAGGGCTGACTGTGGCTCTTCTGCTGCCCAGAAAGGAAGTGGGCTGATGAAGCCTGTTCACACTACATTCAAGCCGCAGTGACATTTACAGTGACCCAGGAAGACAGCCGTAGGTTGTAGAGTGACTCTAAGAGCTGTAGGAATGTGCCATCAGAAGCCATGGCGGCAGTATTCCAGCAATTACTGTTCAAGGAGCATCCAATGCTATCTCTGGAAGGTCGAGTGCACGACTGAAGTTCCCCTGAAGAATGGAGACAGCCAGGACCCCAGGAGTCTGCCTGTTTCTCTCCCTTGCCTGTCAGTCACAGCATCCTATGTGCACCACCTGGACACCCCTCTTTCCACGGCTCTCTGAAGAAGCTCTACCTGCGCAGTTACTCCCTCTCCCTGCTCCCAGACTCACGCCCTCTGGGCTGGCCCTTAATCTGATCCTTCAGCCCATCTGCAGAGGCCTCAGCAAAGCCACCAAGAGAAAGAAACAACAAAACTCCTCTGGCCTCTGGGAATGCTCAAGCAGAAGAGTCCTGGCCGTTCCCAGCTCCTCGGTGTCACCACAGGGCTCCTCATCCTTGCTGGGTAGATCACGTTCTGCATTGGCTAACAGAGCCTGCCAGAGGGCCATGGCGTTCAATTCTGCAGTACTATTCTGCAGGGGCTATGGCGGCATTAGTATGAGAAACAACTGCCTTGCTAAAGTGCTGTCAGAGGCCTTGTTGGCACATCCACGTGCAGGCGGTGATGCTCAGGACAGTAAAGAGTGAGTCACTGTGGCTGGCTCTGAGTGCTGGGCCCGGATGAGATCACTGGCCACACCTTACTGGCCCACTGTGCAGTCTCATGACTTCTCATGGCTTCAAGTTTTCATCAGTCAGCCCCGGAAGAGTTTCCTTTGTCATTCTAAGCCCACGTAGCCTGGCCCTTTCACCACAGAGAAGGCAGGGTCTAGGCAAAGAACCTGACATTCCCTTTGCCTTGTGTCAGCTGCTGAACTACAGCTGTCCTGCTGCTCACCTTCCAGGACCTGAGTGGGACCAGAACAGGGGCAGGGTGACCTGCCCTCCCATCTCCCACTGAAAGGCCCCTTAAGGAGGGCCCTGGAGAGTGAGTCAGGGGAGGCAGGGCTCCTGCCCAACTGCCTGGCTGTTCATTCCATTCCACACAGACAGACATGTCCTGGTTCCATTGTCCACGCTGGATCCCATTCTGTCAACTGATTTGATGGAAGACTTTTTAAAAGCATAACTTTTAATTAGTATATGTATGTTATTTTTGTGCATATGTATATCATTTCTTAATTACATATTACGATTATATTATATTAGAAATATACAATATGTATTATAGATTACATTAGAAAATAGAAATATAGTTTTTTTAGAAAATAGATTCATTAATAACCTCTATTATTATTTTGGCATGTTTCCTTCCAAACTTTATTTCCAACCTATTTTCTGTTCATGCCCTTTTTAAGTTTTTATATAGTAGGATTATTCTACATGACTCGTTTCCTAGCATGTTCTTTTCACTTAACCACATGTTGTAAACCCTTGTCAGTAAATGTGTGTCCATTTTTGGAGGCTGGTCAGTGTTTCCTTGTGTAGATGAACCAAATGGATTCTACCTAACTCCTTTGTTAGGCACTTTGTTTTCCATTTATTTTTTTCTATTGGAAAAAAGATTTTTTTWAAAAAAAATGTCTGCATACATTCTGTATACAACTTTTATTATCCCCTAAAGATAAATTTGTAGAAGAGGAGTCACTGGGTCAAAGAGCACAAACACATCACACTCTTGTCATAGATACTGCCAGCCTGATCTCCTTAAGGGAGGTAGAAGTGCCCCCGCTCTCACAGCAGCAGGAGGAGCCGCCCTCCCCACTCCCTCCTCCATGCTACGACTTCTTACTATTTGCCACCTCTGCTACTTTGCTTCAATAACTTGTCTTGGCAAATTCCACTGTGAACTTTCTCTAAAGGTCAGTTTGGCGCTGAGGTTGCACTGATGGGACAGTATCTTGGACCTCCAGACACAAGTGAATCAGAGCCAGGGGACCAGTGCAGTCTCCAAGGACAACCTACAGCAGTCTGCCAGGGAGCCAAGAGCTGGCCACACCTTGGCAGAATCACAGATCAAGCTCAAGTGCCAGCTGGCTCTTGGACTTAGTGACATAAGACCTCCAACACACACACACACACACACACACACACACACACACACACACACACACTCTGATACACACAGCAGGACATACACCCACACCTGCATGGATGTGTGGGTCCTGACTGGGTGATCTGATCTGTGTTTCATAAATTGACTCCCATTTCTCTCCATTCACTCCCATTTCTGCCTTGGAGGGGTAGACTTCTCTATTCTTTAATGCCACCTCTTCAAAGAGTATGCCCAGTCTCCTGGAGAAAGAGGATGAATGGAATTGCTGAGAAAGTGAGCCATGTGGGTCCTTAGAACAGAGCTGCACGGGCCCCTGTCACATGCCCTGTGCTTCACAAGGTCCCTTCTTGCCTCCTATAGCCCTGCTCTTCCCTACTAGGTAATAAATCCTCTGAGCCACAGGGACATGTCCACACAGAGCCCTGGTCTTCCTTCTAGACTGTATTGCAGGAACCTGGGATTCCAGAATTCCCTGAGTCTGGGGTCTACATGGGGCTCCTCTCTAGAGCAAGAGTGGACCACCAGTGTGCACACCCCTGGCCTGGGGGTGGCCAAGAGGCAGCTGAGTAGGGGTGTGGGTGGAATTTGAACCTGCAGCCTGCAGTGTCCAGTCAGTAGGACTGTGAAGGCCCTCACAAGGTGGGAAGAGAATGGAGTCATACTGTAAATTCTGGGTTGGGGACCAGCTGCCCCCAGTTCACCACCCTTCAGCATAGAACTCAAAGTAGTCCATGAATAATAAATTCAAACCTGGACTTTCAGACCATTTTGAAGGTCTAATCTTTCAAGGTAGGAGAATTAAACATTGCATTTTAATAGTGTATTAATTTGATTTATAACCTTGAAATACTTAGACACATGATAGGCAGTCTCCATTTGTCGTCTTGTCCCTGGCACTGCACATGTTCAGAGGTGAGAGAGGTTTGCCAGCCTGGAGTTTTGGTACGGATCGGGTATGCATGTCCTTCTGCAAGCCAAGGCAATGTGTGCCTCCAGCCCTGGCATAGTGAGGCTGCTCGACCCTGCTGGAGCTGCTGGGAATAATGCTCCTGTTTTTTCAGATCACCTTCAGGAAAGACCACCTTGAGGCCTGCCTCCTTTCCCTGGGTTGTGATGTGATGGCAAGAGAACGCAGCAACTTTGAGACCTACTCCATGTGTTATGAGCATGTGTTGCAGCACGCTAGACAGAAGCTCTGCCAGAAGGAGCAGGTAGGTACCCAGAGAGAGGAGAACCAGTTGGGGGAAGGGCTATGGGCAGGAGGCCCAGGAGTAATTCAAAAGAGAAAGTAAAACTGAGCAGGGGTGGGGAGGGGACCAGTTCTTATGCCAGAATTGAGGGGGAAAGGAACTTTCCAAATTTGTCATCAACTTATTTTCTTGGGTTCTGATATTCTCCACTATATAGGTGATGGCCCCMGCAATACTGAGTTGTGTGCTTTGAGAGTGTCCAGTGGGGAATGCAGAAGGTGACCAAGCCATGAGCTGGAAGGTGCATAGCTGACCTTTCCTGGCTCAGCAAACACAAGGCTATTCCTGGTCTAGCAGAGAAGCCAGGATTCTTGAAAAAAACTGTCTTCAGCATGCATACCATGGTCAATCTCACTGATGCCACTTCCTTAAAATGAAATCYCATTGGTGTCTGAGGGTATAGCTCAGTGGCAGAGTGCTTGCCTAACATGCATAAAGCCCTGGGTTCAATCCCCAGCTCTCCAAAAAAAAAAAAAAAAAAAGAATTGTGAAATCCCACTGGTGGGATAGAAGAGTCATTTCTCCTGTCCTAAATAGCACACTGTTTAGAAATAGATTGCATCAGAGCCTCAGTATAATTCTAGTTTGTATCTGAGAAAAAGAGGAAAAGATCTAAGACTAGCCAAAAAAAAAAAAAAAAAAAGAAGCACAAAAATATCAAATAATAAATCTTGGAATTGTCCCATTTGGGCCTGTTCCCATCCATTTGGGCCTATGCCCATGGTTGGGTTCCTTGTACCAGTGTGGAGAGAGGATGTTGTCTTTTGATGCCGTGTTATAAATCCTAAAGTCTAATGGTGTGGCAAGCACAGTCCCGGCTCCAGGATGAGGCTGAGGGTCTCAAAATGAGGCTCCATGAATACAAATAGGAGGCGTCGGAAATGTGCCCTCCTGAACCAAGCTGTGGTTAGGAGGGTAAATACTGGTGTTTGGTTGTGCACTGCTTTCTTCCCAGGAACTAGATGTGTTACAAAGAAGTCAAGTGCCACCTGAAGACTATGCTGGTCAGGTAGGTCAGTTCTTAAAAAGATTCTCTTCTCCATTCTCACATCTACACTCTCAGAATTTGCCAGAAGTGAGATTTCTGAGCGTCATTTGCATGAGTTGCTTGTGAAAGTCCCATCAATGAAGGTCCCTGCAGAAACACCCAAGGAGTGTGTTTTTACTTTTTGTAAGCAATGAGTTTTAAGGGTGTTTTATTTTTTCTTGAGTTTTTAATTTATTTTTGTTACTTTGTGTTGTTTTGGGAGTCTTTGTGTTGTATTTGGCACGGGAGGGGGGTGTTTGTTTTTCTTTAAGGGCAGTTAAAGTGCATCCCCAAAACAAAGAAGTATTTGGGCTGAGGGATCAAGGAAAGGCCAATTTGGAGATGAAGGTCAAGATAGGTCAGGTATTTTCTCTAATTGAAAATTGCTCAAATAGCGGTTCTTTGGCCCATTTATTCAGCAACCATTTACCGAGCAAGTCCTATATGTCTGGCACTATTGGGAAACCTTTGAATCAAGATGAGATTCTTCTGTCCATCTTTACACAGCAGGATATTCACTTTCTTCCTTAGATTAAAAGAGAAGTGCAAATTCTACAGTAATCTATAAAAAACTTTTTTATAGTAGAACTTTGGAATTCCTAAATTGTTTTCCATAAATATTGCGTGTGTGTGTGTGTGTGTGTGTGTGTGTGTGTGTGTGTGTTTCTGCTGCTAGGTTGCAGAGCTCAGTCATGATATGATCATGGAAATCACTGCTCTGAGAGCCCAACTCACAGATTTGGAAGAGGAGAACATAAATCTCAAAAAGCAAATTAGAGAAGAAGTCCAAGAAGAATATGAAGCATTGGTCCAAGCTTTGTTTATGACCTGTTTACACAGAAAAGTAAGTATCCTATGTCAGTCTTCTGGGCAGCCCTATGGCTGTACACCAAGGAGTCAATGGCAGAATGGACTTAATGGTAATAAGACATTCTTGGGCCCAAGAATTTTCCCACTGTAAGTTTTTGCTGCAGAGAGAAAGTTAGCAATGGGTTGTCATTATTCTCCCCTGATGGACACTGAATTTTAGATAAGTTAGATGTTTATTTTTTCTTACTCTACTGCCAGTCGCCATCTTGTTGCAGTTGAGAAAAGAGGAGGATATTCTGGTTCAAATCCTTACCAGTGTCTACCATTGTTGTTTCTGTGGAGAGTAACTCCCCAAATGGGGGAGCACAGTCCCCTGGGCCCAGCCAGACTTCAGTGGAAGAAGCAGCTAGTACCTCTTGAGAGCTCATGGGCAGATGAGGGATGTGAACTGGCGTTCAGATTTTTTTTTCCAATCCTCAATATTCCCACCTTCCTTTCTCTTACATCCAGTGTCAGAGCTGCTGACCTGTCAATGAAGAAGCATCCAGAAAAGGAGTGATGGGATACCCATGTGCTCCCAGCACTACAGAAACCAGTCACTTTCTTATGTCTGAGCAGCTGTGAGATAGATACGCAGCCCACAATGGACTATCAGAAAGCCTGGTCCAGCTGCCCAACAAATACAACCTACAACCCTGAAATCCATAGCTTCCTCCGGCCCTGCCCCCATCTCTACTATTGGATGAATTCCAGAGCCAGCCCCATGTGGGTCCTTGCCTCCCTATCTCTCCCTGAGCGTTCCAGAAGGGTCCTAACAGGAGATCCTGCGGTGCTCTGCCTCAGCCTAGTCATTCCAGAGAGGGTTAGAGATTTCCTCTAATTTGCAAAGTACAAATACTTACAAATATAAGAGGATCAAAACCCAAATGAGCTGGTTCTAGTGCGCAGGAGAGGAATGAGTAGACAGTGAAGGCTGAAATTTGCTAAGTAATCATTCAGGTATGAGATCATCGAGAAATAATTCTTCAGATCCTGTTAGCTTTTACCAGATTTCAAGATTAAGAAGTGGAATCTCTTCTTCCCAAGCTAAAGTAGTTCCATGAACCCCCCCCCCCCCAAAGAAGGGAATCCCTGTTCTCCTCCAGGGTCCCAAGAGGATGGTGAGGCTTCTACCATGTGATCAGCAGCCAGATTTCCTGCTATATCTCTCAGCTGGCACTACCTTCCTGCCTGCCTCTTGGGAGATGTGGGTCAGAAGTGAGAAGACACCCCTACACTTACTTTTCATCCTAAGGAGTCTAGGTATCTTAGTCTGCTCAGGCTGCTATCACAAAGTGCCATAGACTGGGCAACTTAAACAACAGAAATTTATTTTCTTACGGTTCTAGAAGCCCAAAATCAGAGCAGCTTCTGTGAGGACTCCCTTTCTGGTTTGCATTTGGCCRTCCTCTTTCCATGCCTTTAGATGGCAGAGAAAAAGGGAAAGTTATCTTTCTGTCTTCCTTTTCTGACAGACCACAGTCTTATTGAAATAGGGAACCACCCTTATGACCTCAGTTTAACCTTACTTCCCTCCTGAAGATCTCAGATCCCCAGACACTGTCACAAAGAGCSGTTAGGGTTCAATGGGTGAATTTTCGAGGAGACACAGTTCAGTCCACAACCCTAAGGCTGCARTTATACTTAGCATTGATCGAGCTGTTTCATCATAAGCCATTAGCCATAAGCCATTTAGAACAGAACGTTTTATAATGAGGCTTCTGCCAGAACCTAAATAGGAAGGCAGCCAGCCTGATTCCTTCCTCCACTTATCCATATTTAATGGAGTTCCTCARTGATGGGTCATCTGTAGTGTCTTTACTGGTCAGATTCTGCCCTGAGTCAACCTCACAGCAAAATTCAATTGTTCCAAGTAACCCTTCCCAGGGGGCCATTCTGTCCGTAGGATTTCTGCCTCTGACCTCTCGCTATTCTACCCACTGTCCTCCTGACTCACGTTGCCGTGGTCTTGACAAGCAAGGCATACTCTAGGACATGAAGGTGTCCAAATGATGAAGCCCTGTGGATGGAAGATTAACGCTTAAGGGGCCACTGTTGTGACTTCCATAGAATCCACATTGGAAAAATTATCTGGGTGGAGGATCTTTGAATGTGGAGTCATTTCCAAAAGTTAGGTTTCAGAAGGCAAAATAGTTCTTTCTCCACTGTCCTTCACGCCTCCCAAACCCATTATACTCTCTTGACCTGAGTCTATAATTTGTAGGAGAAGCTGGATGAGAATTGGCTTAATTTGACCCAGAAAGTGTGTGAGCTCATCAGTGAAGTGAGAACAGAAGGGATCACCAATATGAAGGAGCTAAGGAAGAAATGGGGCTCTGCCAGGCCTGACGAAGGAATAAAAGAAAACGCAGCCAAGGTACAAGAGTTCACTTAGTAGTGGGATATCAGTGCTTCTTCCTAGCATCTGCCACACCCTTTACCCTGCTTGCTTTCCAGTCTGGTTTCCCTGAGAAAGCATTTTGGTAGTCATTTCCAGGGGGACCAGGGTTCACTGCACAATTGTGTCATGTTTTTGATGTTAGAATTGATGCTCTTCCTGGGAGAAGTGTTGGAGGCAGGGTTTTCTGAAACTGAGCTTTCTTGATAGGAGCAGATTTTGGCCTTGGAGCAGGACAACCGCAGCCTGGCGGCCCTGGTGTGCAAAGTGAGGAGCCTAGGCCTCTGGAGGCAGGCTGTGCAGCAGACACACTTCCGGGGCCAGCTGAGCAGGGCAGAGAAGGTGAGTGCTGGGGAGGGAGGCTCCGCAGCCCCAGGGGGCCTCCTCAGCCTGCCTCACTGCAGCTGATGTACTGGTGTCATGTGGCAGGGACAGCCACGCTGAAAAATCTGACAGTTGGCCACAACGTCAGAGCCTTTGGGGAAAACAAAAAAGAAACAACTGGCCAGGGAGAACAGATAGAGAATTGAGCACAAAGAAAGTGAAAAGATGAAGGAGAGATCTTACCAAGGGCTCAAAGCTCTTTGTCAAAATACTGTGTGTCTTTGGGCTTGATGCATCTGAGGAAAATGAAGTATCAGTAGATGGAAAATCTGCTTTAAAGCAAATTGAAACCAAAGCACATGTTGATAGATAGAGGTTTGGAAACTTCCACTGACTGTTCCTGAAAGTCTATTTACTCTGATTTGTCGCACTTTTCTTCCTTCCTTCCCTCCCTCCCTCCCTCCCTCCCTCCCTTCCTTCCTTCCTTCCTTCCTTCCTTCCTTCCTTCCTTCCACCAGGGATTGAAATCAGGGGCACTTGACCACTGAATCACATCCCCAGCCCTATTTTGTATTTTACTTAGAGACAGGGTCTCACTGCTTTGCTTAGCACCTTGCCGTTGCTGAGGCTGGCTTTGAACTTGCAATTCTCCTGTCTTAGCTTCCCAAGCCTCTGGGATTACAAGTGTGTGCTACCCTGCCCGGCTCTCTATTCTTAATTACAATCACAGAAGCAGTGTCCAGCAAGAACTCCATTCTACTGGAAGTTTTAAAGGATGGATGGGTTGGGCACTACTTGTGAAACAAAAAATATGGAAACTTATTCCTTATCTTACTGTGTTTGGGATGTTTACAGGAATCTATTCGAAGTAAAAAAGAATGTTTGCGCATCAAGCTAATGGCAGAGCGGGAAGCAGGTTTATTTCGCCAACAGTTGCTGGCTCTCAGGCAGGCCCTGGCCAGCGCTCAGGCTGACAATGCCAGGATGCGGAAGCGGCAGGATGACCAGGTATCTGAGCTTCAGACCCTCCTCCTTCCCCTCCTGGAACGTTCTCTGCAAAGCTGAGTGTGGCTACTACAACTGGCACTGTGGCTGTCGGTAGCAATCACCAGAGCTCCACAGGGTGAAGCTGAGCAGATGGCCCAGACAGAAAAAGATAGCTTCCTGTCTCCTCTTCGGTCCAGAAACCAAGGGCAGAAGCCAAGAGACTTTTTTTTCTTACTAACCTTTAGTTATAATGATAAAATATTTTTCATAAGCAAGATCAGTGTGTGTGTGTGTGTGTGTGTGTGTGTGTGTGTGTGTGTGTGTGTTTCTCTGAGGATCATTTTACCAAAGGGTGTCTTGGGACCTATGTCTCTGCCTTGAACATGGCTTTTTGTGGTCTGTGTACACTCTTCATACACAGCAACCTAAGTCTGGGGGTTTTGTCCAAGCTTTAGTATTAGCCCCCAAGTAGAAAGTCTTGGGTCCTTTCTGATGATACATCCAAAGTTTTCCTTTCAGGAGTGGCTGCTTCTCCAAGGTGACTGGCCCAAAAACAAAGGAGCATGCAGTATAAGCTCTAAACTTTCTCTAACTGTGTCAACCTTCTGAGTATGAATGAAGCACAGAGATACAAGGTTGACACCCATTTATATCATGAAAAATACACTGAGATATGACTGAACTCCTAAGAAAAAATTGGCACCCCACATTTTTCTTAGGTTTAGAGTCAGAACAGCTGACTATAAATAACAGCCTGGGAAAGTTGGGCATATTTAAAACCTGAAATATGACTTGTGCATTTTGGACTCGACTTCCTCTGTGATTGTACCTCAGTGAGTTACTTGGTTAGCTGTAAAGTGGCCATACCAATAATCATTGCTAATGTCATAACTAAGAATGACCACCTAGTACTTAAAGTGCTGCTGATTTGAAAAACTTTGGAACAGAACCAGATGATCACAATTCTTTTCCTTCCTTCAAAATCAAAATCTCCCTTCCCAGCTAGTTGCTTGTATCCCACGCCTGCTCCTGTCTGTGCAATTAAACCAGCCCTGTGCTGTTCCCCCATGATAAAGGTTCCATGGCAATGAAAATATAGTTTATGATAGATATGATTATTTGGTTAATGAGCTAATTAACATACACATTATCATCAAATGTTGCTCTCAGAAGACCAAGTTACTTGATCTGTTATTGCCAGATGGTGGCATTATCACTTACCTGGCTTATTATGTTACGTGCTTGTTTGTTCTGTTTCCCTGACTGCTGCCTCAGAGCCAGGCTAGATTCTGGTGCCCTTGCTGCTGCCTGGGCTATGTCACCCAGAGCACCATGTAGACCTGCCCCGGGCCCTGGTAGCGGGGATGATTGTTGCCATGCCCCACCTCTGCTGCCTTCTGGCTTGGCCCTTCCTGCCATAGGCCCAGCTGTTGAAGGAGCTAGAACACAGAGTGACCCAGGAAGCTCTCACCCGGCAGCAGCTAGATGTCATAAAAGCATCCAGCATCGAGAAGCTCTTGGAAGAAGTGGGCCACAAAGAACAGCAATTGCAACTCCTCACCGAAGAGGCTGAGAGGGCTTCGAAACTGGGCCAGCTGCAGCGGAGAAAGATGGAGCGAGACCTCCGACAGGTGAGCTCCGGTGAAAGCCAATCTGGGCACCCCAAGAGCCAGCTCACTCCCCCAGCCTTTCCATACCTCTCTTCTGCTCTCCATAGCAGCCACCTTTGCCACTTCTAGGCACGTTAGGGGAAATGGTCATATCTAGACTACACTGGGATAATTGCTTGGATGAGCAGAGAGGGCCTAACTGCCCCAAGGCTCAGCATCTCGGCACCCACTGACCACCTAAAAAGCACATTCTACCCAACTCCAGCCTTTGAACTTGGCATCCTTTGGAAAATTCTGAGAAGTAACCTGGAAAAGCAGCAAGTATTATGGAAGCTATTATAAAAGGATTTTATTCAAGTGCTTCTAGAAATGCAGACACAAAAATGAAAGGCAAAAATGGCTTGCAGACACAGTTGTATTTTTTGTTAAATATATCCCGCAGGGAAAAAAGATGAGGAGGTTTATTGTAATGTAGATGTAGATTAATTCAAGTTCTGACAAAGCAGACCACAGGATRTAATTCAATAGAAGAGGACAAAGAAATGGTACCTTACAGGAAAGGTGTTTCACATATTCCCACAGGGTGATCAAAGCCCTTAATCATCCACCAGAGACAGTAGGAGTCAGAAAAGTAATGGGAAAATTAAATTATTGGTCAAGGGTTTCAGATGCTCAAAAGATCAATAAGGAAAAGTCTATGGTTGAAACTGAATTCAAGGGTTGCTAAAGAAATTGTGTAGAAACRAAGAAAGGAAATGAGCAGTTTTAGAATAAAAGAAAATTAGAATTTCACATTTATTTCTTGGAAAGAACACTAAAATGACTGAACTATAAGCCAGCTGTGGTAGTACATGCCTGTAATCGCAGCAACTAGGCAGGCTGAGGCAGGAGGATGGCAAGGTTGAGGCCAGCCTAGGCAACTTAGTGAGACCCTGACTCAAAATAAAAAAATAAAAAGGACTAGAGATATAGCTCAGATGTGAGTGACCCTGGGTTCAATTCTCCAGTGCCAAAATAAATAAATAAATGTCTGAACCTATAAGAAAAGTTGGCATTTCATGTTATGCTTTTCTAAAAGCTACCTCARAAATAGATCCATAGATTCCATTTGCCAAAATTCTAGAGTTAATTGTTAATTATTTAATGGCAGAGATTCTAGAGGTAGTCAGAACAGATATTTTGAGGTTTCAATAAATACATATTTTCACTATATGTATGTCAAAACCATTTGTCCTTTTTAAACTCCTCCTCTAGCTCTTCTGACAGCTCACGGACCCCTGGGCTAACCCACCGCAAAGAGCAATTCTTGACCTGCAAGAGCCCTCTTGGCCATTTGTGGGTTCTTTGCCACATCTCTAGCCTCCACCTCTGTGGGAAGATAATGGCTATCTGACCTCAGAGAGCATCAGTGTCCCTTCCTGTCTCCTGTGCCTGGAGAGGTCAGTTAGAAAGAACACAGGTCAGACTGCCTGGTTTGTACCCCCAGCGCTCCAGCTGTGTGGCTTTGGGAGAAGTGTGTGGCCTCTCAGTGCAATGAGGTACTATATTTACTTCTCAGGATTTGGGTAAAGATTAAGTTAGGTAGCTCAAAGCACTTAGACCAGCAGCTCTCAATAAATGTTGACTGTTATATGTTTGGGGAGTAGGAAGGCAGAGAAGCCTCAGAAACAGGTAGTAGACCTAGATTCAGAGCCTGGCTCTGCTACTAACTGGTTGAGAGATGTTGACTGATGAGATGCTGAGATGTCACCGTATCTTTCTCTGTGAAGTAGGACTGGAGATGCCGACACAAGATATGTCCTCAGTAGGCATGTTTCTTTTCTCTGCTACTATTTCTCAGATTTATTTAACCCTGGCCTGGCTCAAGAAATCTTGACATGTTTCCCATTGTGGATCCTCCACAAATATCTGGAATACATTGAAGGACTTTGGACCTAGTTTATATGAGGAAGTTTCCCTAACTCTGCAACTCTRATAATCTACTGAAATTTAAATTCCAGTTGAGAGTATCGATGCACACAAGGCCAGCCCCCTCCCCGTTTTCAGACAGCTGCGAGCATGCAGGGGCCTCCTCATTGGGTCCGAACAGCAGGAGTAGGATTTAAAACACGTGTGGCTGAATTTTTTAGATTAGCATGTGTCTTAGTTTCCCAGGGTTGTCATAATAAATTACCACAAACGGGATGGTTTACCACAATCTGGATGGCTTAAAACAATAGAAATTAATTCCATCATGGTTCAGGCAGCCGAAAATCTAAAATCGAGGTGTTGGCAACATTTGTTCTGTTAGGAGACTCTGAGMAAGTCTCTGTTCCATGTCCCTCTCTCTCAGCTCCTGGTGACAGCTGGCAATTCTCAGCATTCTGGGGTTTGTAGTTACACCACTCCAGTTTCTGCACCAGCATCCYATGTCTTTCTTCTTTATGTGTTCCTCTGTGTGTCCATATCCTTACCCTGTCATTTTCTTGTGAGGACAATAGTCACTGGATGTAGGGATAACTTAAGGTCTAACTCCAGTATGACCTTATACTAACTTCATTACATCTGCCTACAAAGACTCTATTTCCAAATACAGTCACATTCTGAGGTTCCAGGTAGATGTGAATTTTGAGAACAGTATTCAACCCACTACAGCATGTATTATTTTTTAATAATTAAAAACAATTAGGATATAATTCATGTAAAAGGAAAAAAATCCTATGATCTATACAGATGAGGTGTACTTTGGCCTTAGCTCCTCTTAGCTGGGGGACTATGGGTCAGCCACGCGAGGGGACAGCTACCCAAGAAAATGTAAAGGTTAGCCCTGGGGATGGACCTTCTCTCAGACCCAGGAGACATGCTCTCCCAGCAGATGCCCAGCTGAGACTGAGGGAGAACGATTCTTTTCTTGTTTCAAACCATCCAGGGTTTTTACGGGTCCTTGGTGCAGATGTCATTGCTTGGTCTCCAAGGTCTTGTATGAACTGGACCCTCGCTTTCTTATTCCTCTACCTAGCTGGTGAAATAAACAAAAAATATAAGTGCCTAGCTTCCTTCAAGGGATTCCAGGGTTGTTTTTGTTCCTCATTAGTTGAATTCTTGGTCTTCCTTGAAGCTCTTGGTTCTCAGAAGGCTGAGTTCAGCCTATTCAGGACTTTGAGAAGACCTKGTTGCACTTCATCAGGGAGCCGGGGCCCTTCAGACCCCACTGTGAACTGAGGGAACTAAAGAGAACGCCACAAAGCCTCTCTGCTTCCCAAACCCTTTACCCTCAGACGAGAAGCCGACTTGCCCAGGAGCGCAGCGTGAAGCTGGATGCTTTCCAGCGCATAGAAGAGTTACAGAGTCAGCTTCCTGACACTGAGCAGCTGTCCATCCAGAGGAGCTCCCCAGGCGGTAAGCAAGCCCTCCCCAGCTGGAAGAGTCATCCAGACTCAGGGGTCTGACCTRCAGGAGGGCCTCAGTGACTAGCAATAACAACACAGTGGCTATGATCAATGGGTCATCATGGGTCCTCCATGATATTTGTTGGATGAATGAACAGCACATGGATGAATGGATCTTAATTCTCATTTATTGTCAGAATTTTCTAATTTACTCCACCTTGGAGTACTGACATCTAAAAGGTTTCAATCGATAACAACTGGTCCTGGGAGAATATGCCACTTAAAGAATATTGAGTACTTCATTGGATTTTAAAGCATCCTAATGAGTCGGGACACCAGTGACCACATTTCTCAGATATTATTCATGAAGTCCTTTATGCTTCTTGGGTGCTGAGAGCTCGAGGAGTCCAGTGAAAATGGCAATCAAAATAGCTCTCTGGCCGGACGTGGTAGTGCTTGCTTGTAAGCTCAGCAGCTCGGGAGGCTGAGTCAGGAAGATCGAAAGTTCAAAGCTAGTCTCAGCAATTTAGCGAGGCACTTAGAAACTCTGTTAGCAACACTTAGAAACCCTGACTCTAAATAAAAAATACAAAATAGGGCTGGGGATGTGGCTCAGTGGTTGGAGTTCAGTCCCCAATACCCTCCCCAAAATAGCTCTCTGGGCAGTGCAAGCAGCAGGCAGACTGGAACAGCAGACTCCGGGATGATGCTAACCTAGCTTCCTCTTCCATTAGAGGAGGACTAAATACAGTGTAAGTACTCTTCTAGATCTATCATGAATATGACCAAATATCATTAACCCTGGTTGTCCTATCCTTAGGACCAGCCAAGCCCCTTCCTTCCTGTTCTGTAGCATGGCCACATGAGTGTGTGGGCTTTGGAGAAGATAGCTAGAATGCTGTCACTACTAGTGGTGTGACCTTAGATAGGTTAATTAGCCTCTCAGTAAAATGGGAATACTTACCTCAAACTTGTTCTGAGAATTAAATGGATTAATGCATATCTGACACTTAGAATAGTCTCAAGATGGTAATCATGCAAATATTGGTTACTATAGTTTCATACATGTGTTTGTCCTTTATCTGTGTTTCCATTTGGCTATTTACCAATGTGAATAGCTGGGAAAACCGTCTTTCAGGAGTAGACAAAGTCAAAGATCAAGTTACAGTGGGTTTACTCAGAGAAGAACTGGGCTAGCTGGTAAAGCCCACAGGGCCCCACTCTCTGCCTCTATGCCTGCCACCCAGCCTTCACCATGGGCACTGGTGTCCCCTGCCTGGCCACTGTCACTTCTGCCCTAGCCAAAAACAAAGCATCAAGTGCACTCAGGGTCCTGTTTTGGCCACTGACCCTGAGCAGCTCCCTGTCTTACACTGTGCCCACCACAGTCTCTGGAATTTTTCTTTCTCTCCTTTCCAGTCTGATGCTTCCAGCTTAGCCAAGCATCTTTTTTAATTCCCTTTGGGTTAATGTTTCCTAGTGAACTACCACTTCTCCCTTAGTGTGCCTTCTAGGAAGCACATAGGACACTTCTGCTTATGTCTCATAGCCAGTACTTATCTAGAAGACCACACAAAGGAGACTGAGAAATGTAGCTTTTACTCTAAGATTCTGTGTGTGCAATAAAACATTTGGAGTTTTATTACTAAAGAAGAAAGGGGAGAATGGCACTTGGGGATCACTCAGTTCTCTGTCACACTACCAACAATCTGATTTTTGTCTCCATCTCTTCATTGAAGTGGCTTTTGTCAGGATCAACAAGACTTCCATGTCTCCAAGCACAGTGGATGAACACCGTCCTCACTTCCTGCCTCACATGACCACACCCTTCTCCTAAGTTTCTGTTTCCCTTTATGTCCAAGGCTCTGGGCTTGTGGTTTCTTTCTCTTCTTTTGGCTGCTGCTTCTAAATCTCCTTTTCCAATTCCTCCTCCTGTATCCAACCTCTAAACATCAGAGTTATCCAGGGCTCTGTCTGGCCTCTTCTCCTCACATGGTTTCTGGATGATAATTGCTTGTGTTCCCACGGCTTAATCACTGTTGGCCAAGTCCACACCTGCAGCTTGAAACTCCCCTCCAAGCTCTAGACCCATATATCCAGTGACTCCTGGATGTCTGCATTCAGGTGTCTCCAGCTCACAAGTTCAGCAGGTCAAATGAAATCCATCTTCCTCTCCTCCTACAGGCCTGACTCCTTTTGGGGTAGAGGAGGCACCATCCCAGCAAATGGTATTGCSGAATATCCAGTTGCTTGAGTCAGAAATTTGTGAGCTATTCTTCCTCACCCTGCAAATCCAGTTCACTGCCTTTGTCAGTTAGTTTGAACAGCTCGCAGTCTAGCTACTTAGGCTTCCACGTCTCCTGTCATTCACCTCTTTTACGTGATCATGTGACCCTCAGGCAAAAAACTCCATCCAAATTTTGACATCGTCACTMAAAATGGATAAAGTTGGATTACATCCCCATTTTAAGCTCTAAAATTTTATAATTAAATCTGGGCCTATAGCAGCCAAAGATCTAACTTATAACATTTTGAACTTTATAGGCCTTATATCCCAGGCTCACTGCTCCCTAAGTTCTGCTTCTACATTATCCAGATACTCCCACCAACATTTTTTAAAGACTAATCTTATGGGCAATAAATTAACAAGAAGAATTCAAAGACCCAAGACTGTAAGTAATGATAAGTTCACTTACATGTATGAAACAATGAAAATTTTAAATCTGATGTCATGGTTTTAGGTTTAAGTTTTCAAACTTACATTAGAAAAATTGTATACAAAGATTTTTATCTAGGTAATTTGRATCTGGATAAAACAATTCTAATGTTGAAATCATTAAGTCCAATGGTACTTTCTCAATTACAAGTCAATCATTGGGTGTGAAAGTGAGCATCAACAACTTGCTATGTTCTATCTCTGATTTTATTTTTTAAACCATCCACAATAATTAATTAGCAGCATTGGCTCCCTTAGTTGATTTTCCTAATAGAGCAGAAATAAAGAATTTCAGAAGTCATTTTAAAACACATGAGAGCTGGGCTCAGTGGCACACACCTGTAATCCCAGAAGGAGGCTGAGTCAGGAGGATTGTTAGTTCAAAGCTAGCCTCAGCAACTTAGTGAGGCCCTAAGCAACTCAGCAAGACCTTGTCTCTAAATAAAAAAATACAAAAAGGACTGGGGATTTGGCTCAGTGGTTAAGTGCCCTTGAGTTCAATCCCTGGTACCAAAAAGAAAAAATAAATAAAAAAAGAATTTTAAAAAATATTTTAGCTTTTACTTGATATAAAACAACATTTACATACTCTTTTACTACCTTCTCTACACTTCTTTAGTATATTTTTTGCTCCAATATCTTTCAGAGCCCTAGCCCCGAGATTTGCATATCTTATCAACACATTTAAGAATTCTTCCCCCTATTTTCAGAAAAAATAAGAAAAGATGTAATCATTTCTTCAAAGAAAATYATGTCATTCTCAAAAGTTGTTTAAATTGGGTAATTCTTCAACTGATGGTCTAGTTATTAGTCCAAAAGTTTGCTGCAATATTTCTAAACTTAAGAAAGGGGAGAGGGCTGGGGTTGTGGCTCAGTGGCAGAGCACTTGCCTAGCACGCATCAAGGCATTGGGTTCGATCCTGAGTACCACATAAAAATAAATAAAACAAAGGTCCATCAACAATTAAAAAAAAAGAAGAAGAAAAAGAAAAGAAAGTGGAGAAACAGGTTGGGACCAAACTAGCTGAAACCTTAATAAGTCAGAGCCTTGTGGTTAATGGTTACCAATGCTTGGCTCACCAATCTTTGTGCAGTCACCTTCARTACCCATGGGGATTGGTTCCAGGACTCCCATGGACACCAAAATCCATGGATGTTGAAGTCCCTAATTAAAAAAAATTCTTAAAAATATTTTCTGATATTGAACTTAATTACTTTCTGAAGCTAGAGGTTGTCTTACTACTTCAACTTTCTTATGGCACTTTTAAACATCTTTTTTTGAATGAACAGTGGAAATAAACATTAGAGTATAGATTTTAAGGCACCCCAAAAGGCATAGTATTTTCATACAACCTACATACATTTGCCTATGTACCTCAAATCACCTCTAGATTACTATAATACCTAACACAATGTAAACGCTATGGAAATACTTGTTACACTGTATTGTTTATGGAATAATGACAAAAATGTCTGTTCATGTTCAAAAGGGATGCAATTTTTTTCAAATATTTTTTGATCCTCAGTTGAATCTATGGATGTAGTGCTGATGGATACATGAGGGCAAACTTATGTCTATTCATTTTGCAAAAGCCTTTTCTTTCCTTTTTGGTGACCCGCTGGAATTAAAGGTGTGTGCCACCGCACCTGGCTGCGAAAGCCTTTTCTAAAAGGAAGCAAAGTTCAGTTTGTGTATGTGCGACCACAGGGCCTTTCAAGATTCAGTTAGTCTCTATTTCACTCCTGAAGACTCTGCATACTTTGGGCGTGTTGGTGATCACAGCTCTTGTGATTGAAAAGGCTGCCAATCCTAAAAAAACAAATGCTAAATGTTTACTTTGATATAAGTGGGGTGACTCAAGGTGGGGTAGGGAGGGAGAGCAAGGGAGGAAGATTACCTCTAGATAGGGAATAGGAGGGGGTGGAAGGAGGTGTTCATCATTATACAAAATACATGTATGAAGATGTGAATTTGGTGTCAACATACCTTATATACAGAGATATGATAAATTGTGGTATAAAGGTAATTTTCTTTTGTAATGCAAAAGAAAATCAATAGGAGAGCTCATGTATAATGGCATAATTTGGTGTGAACATACTTTATATAGAGAGTTATGAAAAATTGTGCTGTGAATGGATAATTATGATGTAATGCATTCCACTATTGTCATGTATGAAATAAATAAATAAATAAATGGGGGGGAAAAAAGAAAGGCTGCCATGTAGCTGACTAAGTGCCTAAGTGGAGAGAGTGAATATTTGAGAGATTTAGGTGGCTGATGGTCAGGGTATGTACAATAAAGGGACCCCAAGTAAAAATCCTGAAGGCCAGGAAAGGCACAAAGTTAGTTGGAACCATTTCAGACCTAACTTAAGGTCTGGCTTCTTAAACAAGGCCTCTGAGTCAGGCCAGATAAATACTGACTAAAGAGGAAGTGGCTGAAATGTAGGGACACAAATGATTTTCTAAAAAATACCTTGGCATTAACATAAGTAACAAAATATTAAGGAATTTGTGGTTTGCTTTAGACAGATAAGTCTTTTTGTCCTTAGCTGGAAATGGCTTTCCACTGATGGATTCATTCTTGACCATTTCCCATATAACAAGTGGCAAAGTAGGTATGAAAAGGCACACTGAAGGCATAGYCCAGATGGAACCAAAGATTTTAGTCTCATTAACAACAGTGATCTTTTATTATGCTATACCAAGCAATATTCACCATCATTTAAAAAAAACGATACGATGTGCTTAATATTACAGGTACCCATTAAACACAAAAAGAGGACTGATGAGGTTTTCCTACCCAATGTGGCAGGAGATGTCCAACTTACAGCTTTTCAAGTCCAAACAGCTCCATCCAGAATCCCATTTGGATCTGATTGGTAATCACATCTTTTCCCAAATTTTATTTCTATGAGCATTTGAATAAATAAAAATGACTCTTACCCCCAATTAAGCCTTTTATCTCATTTTTCTTTTCTACTATCTTGGAAGATAGTTCGCACTGATTTACATTCCTATAAGCTCTCCCTTGCTGCTGGCCAACCGTAGCCTCTCAATGTGACTTTGAGAGTTACCAGGTAGGCGAGATAGCCAAGAYAGAGGCCCTGCTGCTGGGTTATGTTTTACTAGGTGAAACCACTGTATTTGAATAGAGCTGCATCCAAATAAACTTGAAAGCACCATCTTATTTGTTTCACTTAAGAACACAATCCCTCTTCAGTCTTTTATTCTTCCTACAAATGTCAAAGTTCTCCTCAGACTTAGTAAAGTCTTAACCTGTTTTTTTTTGTTCTTTTTCAAAATCTGAGTAAAGCAATAAATAAATAGAACAGACCTAAGAAACATATTTACATACATAAATTTTTGTATTGTTATTTACTACTAGTTATTAGACCAAAAATATATATTTCAATAGTTTGGATCCTAAATGTCCCCAAAGACCCATGTGTTAAAGGCCTGGTCCCGAGCCCATAGTGTTATTGAGAGGTGGTGAAACATTTTTAAGAAGTGAGGCCTAGTGGCAGGAAGTTATGTCACTGAGGGCATGCCCTCAGAGGAGATATTGGAAGTCATTCCTCTCTCTTCTGTTTCCAAGGCATTGTGAGGTAAGCAGCTTCCTCTGCCGCATATTCCAATCGTGAAGTATTACCTCACTATAGGCCTAAAACCAGTGGGGCCTATTGACCATGGAATGAAAACTGCAAAATTGTGATCCAAAGTAAACCGTTTTCTTTTTAAGTTAATTATCTAGGATATTTGTTATGGCAACGGAACTCTAACACATACATGACATATGAGTTTTTTCTAATTACGGAGAAGGTTGAGTCTATTCAAAGCAAATTAAATTATCATCTTTTGCCAAAATGGATTAAATATTTAAATGCACACACACAAGCTTATTTCAGAAACAGAATATAAAAAACAAGAACAAGAGGAAGATTGATAACTTTGATATCTAAACTCAAGCTTCAGCATAAGATACCATACAAGTTATCAATTTGTTATAAGTCAGCTCAGATTCATTTTCTGTTCTGCGACAACTTATCTGGACCTTGTAAATGTTTCCTCTTTGTCAATTGGTAAATGTTAAACTCTGTCAGGAGAGAGTATTAGAGCAAATCTGTAGGAAGAAGAAGGATTTCTCTTCAAAGTTCTGGTGTGCTCCTCTAAGCACATCCTTTCAGTGTGTATGGCTTTAGCAGCATCAAGTTCTCACAATACATGTGGCTTGTACCAAGTCTGATTCTAGCATTGCATGCCCTTCAGGGTGGAGTGCCTCTGGCACAGAACCTCTTCTGAAGGGATCCCTCCAGCACCTCCTTGGGTGACTTTGTCACCTCAGAGAAATTCTCTGTTCTCTTGTAAGCCTTGTCTAGGTAGTCTCTAATGAAGTCTGGATTTGAGCCTTGGAAGGTAGTCACTGCTCCTAAATTTGCAATTCCTATRTTTTTTAGAATTTATTACTTATCAGACAATCCCCCATTATGCTGATCCTTGGGTATAGTTAATGATTATTTATGTTAAACATTTCATGTTTGAATTACTATGTGATTTCTGTCTCCTTATTGTCCAAAGGTTGAAACAGAACTGGTACCAGGAGTGGGGTGTTCTCAGATAGGCCCACAAAGATGGAATATGTGGATTTGGTTGAGCACTATGGGCTCGGGACGAAGCTTTTGGTTGAACACAGACTATGATCACATTTGGGTCTTAAGTTAATACTCACCAAAGGGCATCTATAGCAAAGGAGGCTCTTATTAATCAAGTTGACAAAATAATATGCCCTGAGAGTATCAGCATCATTTTCCAGCTACTCCCTGCTTTCTCAATGGGACTCTGAACATCCCACAGTAGTAGGGATGGAGCTCATATGTGGGCTTAGCAACACAGACTTCCCCTTTTCCAAGCCGACATCACTACTGCCAAGTGTCTATTCTGTCCAGAGCTGAGACCACTAATGAATATAATTAATTGCAATATAATATTATATTATACAATATAATGCCAACCCCATGGTTAATCATTATCTACTTGGTAGCAGGTTGATGACTGGACTTCTCTCATCATGACAGGGCCAGAGATTCACCTTCATTAGAATGAATCCATATTCTGTATATGTATTACCTTCCTTCCCATAATGCTTYTGCCAGCAGCACCTCCAATCCATATACTTACCGAAGGTCTTATATGACACTTTTCCATAGCATTGCTTCTAAGCAAGAAATAAATTTCACAGCAAAAAATATGCTGCAGTGAGCTCATGCCCATAAAATCAACATGGCCCAACACCGAGAAGTAGCTGATCTAATTATAAGGTCAAATGGTTCACCCACTACTCATTTATGACAGCAGTTGGGGACACCACCCTGAAAGTGTAGCACATGCTTTGAACCAGAGTATATGGGTCCAAGAATCACAGAGTAGTAGCGAGTTCCTTCATGATTATACTTCTTATCCCAGCATCTGGAGAATGCTAAAAATTGGAGGTTTTAGTCCTCAGGGGATGCTTCAACCAGGGACACAACAATGGTTCCACTTATGTAAGATGAGACTGCCACCTGGACTTTCTTATGTTCCTAACAAATAGGCAGAAAAAGGTGTATCTCTACTGGCTAGAAGGATCAATCCTGATTGCCAATACAAGATTGTATTGCTAGTACACAAAGGAGGCAAAAAGGACTATATTTGCAACATAGAGGATGCCCTGGGCGTCTAAGCAGTTCCATGTCAATAGTAAAGATTAATGAAAACTATAACCAAAATAGGTAGAACAATTTGAAGAATCAGAAACTTTGGCTCTAATATTTAGGTCTTTACCAGGTAAAGAATCCTAACCAGCTGAGGTTCTGGCCAAGAGCAAAAGAAATACCAAAGAGGTAGGGAAAGGAGGTCACAGGTTTAAAAAAACAGGGACCGCAATAGCTTTGAGGATTTTCCATTTTCCTCTTTTATTTATTTGTATGTTCTAACCATTTTCATTTTCTTCTTTCATTTTAATTTTATATACAAGTTTTGGGAGATTAAATTTACAATTTAGATTTTAGGTTACAGAATATTTGATGAAACAGTGACAGAATTGGAGGAGTCACTAATGTAATCAACAATGAAAATGATTGCCAGTACTGGGCATCTTCTTATTTTGAGAAAGGGAAGTGAAGTTGATTTGTAAGAAAATGTAGGTCAGGAAGAAATGTCGGACTATCTCATTGTTGCAAAGTTTTGAAATGTGCAGAAGGGCACATATGGAAGCTTAATAGCCAGAGGGATGGACCTCTTAGCTCTCAATGTTCCTGTCACTACCCTACACTCCCTTGAATGACTTCCCAGATTGCCACTGGTGTGACATCTCTCCATGGATGGCTTCCCTGGCACCCACTCAGATGGATTTGTAGCTACTATGAACTTCACTATGCAGACAGCCAGGGTTGCATCATCTCTGATGAAGCCTGGAATTAAGCTTAAGATAGTGGTGGTGGCCAYTGCCTAGTTTTGTTGTAGTTTTTGGTACTGGGAATAGAATTCATGGACACTTTACCACTGAACTACATCCCAGACCTTTTTTTTTTTTTTTTTTTTTGAAACAGGGTTTTGCTAATTTGCTGAGGCTGGCCTCAAACTTGTGATCTTCCTGCCTTGGCTTCCMAAGTTACTAGGATTGCAGGCATGTGCCACCATGCCCAGCTCTCACATGGCTTCTTTTCAATGACGCAGATCTCTTTGGCAACTGCACCATCCTTGGCAGCACCTTTARACATGTTTCTTTTTTGGAGAGCCAAACTCAAGTTTTCCAAATTTTCCCTTTTCACKTCTGATTTTCACAGTAAATTTAGCTAAAAGGAAGCAATGAAACCTGAACTGCTACCTGAATATTGAGCTGCCTTGAAATTTCCTTCACCAGGTAAACTGGTCTATCACCTTTAAGTTCAGCTTCCCATCAAGTCTCAGGGATGTCTAAAATGTAATCAAATTCTTTACCATGGTGTAAAAAGGTATGGCCTGTCCAATTCCCTGTAGAGTCCTTATTTTCACTTGCAACCTCTTGAGAAACCTTTACTAATCAGCATTCTGGTCTTAATCCTCACCAGAATTGCCCTTTGAGTTCTGCATACAGCATCCTAGGCTTTCTCTAACCTGCTTCTCCAAACTCCCCACAAACCAAATCCAAAGATTCCTCCATTATTCTCAGGTTTAGTCATACAAACTCCCACTTCTTGGTACCAATGTTGGGTGTTGGTTGACTTTGTTACTGTGACAAAATACCTGAGATAATCAACTTAAAGGAGGAAAGGTTTATTCTTGCTCACGGTTTTAGAGATTTCAGTCCATGGCTGGTTGGCCACACTGCTTTTGGGCCAAATAGCACATCATGGCAGAAGGATATAACTAAGGTAGCTGCTTACCTCATGGCAGCCAGAAAGCAAAGAAGAGGAAGGCTGGGATCTCAACATCCCCTTCAAGAGCATGTTCCAATGAATGAACTATTTCCCACTAGGGCCCACCTCTTAAAGGTTCCAACCTCTCTATAGCACCACAAGCTTTTAACACATGGGGGACAGTCATCCAAACCAYAGCAGTATACCAACAGAGAAATTTAAGTATTTGGTACAGCTACATACACTAATTTGGAAACTTGAAAAGACCTCCAAGTAGCAGCAGTAGAATGCATTTTGACATCACACACATAGTGAAAAAACAAACAAACTTGTAGGAGGACTTACAATAGACAAGAAATGGAAACAACTGTGTCTAACTGATGGAATGAAGAAAATGCAGTACATATGCACAATGGAATACGATTCACTTAGGAATGAAGTCTTTTTCATTTGCAACAACATGGATGGAAGTGATTATGTTAAGTGAAATAAGCCAGACATAGAAAGACAAGTACCATATATGATCTCACTCATATGAAGGATCTAGAAAGGTTGATCTCACAGAAGCTGGGTGTGGAATGATGGCTAAGAGGCTGGGAGAGTACAGGAGGGGAAGGGGAGATCAATGGTACAAAGTTCAGCTACATAGGAATAAGAAGTTCTGGTGTACTATTGCATATTAGGATGACTTAAAAGACAGATAAATGTTTTCACCATCAAGAACTGTGTTTCACATAGATGTTTACCCTGATTTAAACATCTACACAAAATGCATGTTTTGAAACATCACATAGTATCCCATTAATATATAAATTTATGTATCCGCTAAAAAATAAATTYAAATATAAAAAGCAAAAAGTTGAAAACAACTAAGAGAAAATAATATTGTGGCAATGAATTACTGGAAATAATAAAAACTTGCAGAATGTTAAAATAAAAATTCACATCATATATTTTGTAAAGATAGGTATAATTATGTATGCACAAATTTTTGGAGGAAGAAGAGTTAATATATCAGTTAGTTTGTTACCTATAGAATGGAGGAGGGCAAGTGGATGGGACCAGGGATGGTTGAAGTAGATTTACACTACCTACAATATTTAGAAAAAAAGTTAAAGTGTATTTATGTATAGCTTGATAACTGAAAATGAGACATTAAAAAAGTCCTGTCTTGAAGCCAAGTGCAATGGCACATGCCTGCAATCCAAGTAACTTGGAAAGCTGAGGCAGAAGGTTCTCAAGTTCTATGCCAGCCTCAACAACTTAGCAAGACATTGTTGCAAATAAAAGGACTGGTGATGTAGCTCAGTAGCAAAGTACCCCTAGGTTCAATTCCCAGTATCCCCAACCCCAAACTAAAATCCCATCTTGAGAATTTTTCTTCTGGCTAAAATGAAGTGAGACTAGACATTCTGAAGCAACTAAAAAGCTGAACTAAATATATGAAAGGTTCCCTCTCCTCCGCCCCCAATACAATGGATATTAGGCAAATAATAGTGATCTCTAAGTCATAAAATAAGGCAGGGAGCCCAGGCAGGGCCCAGTTGACTTCCTTAGTTGAAGAGATGGAGCTGAAAATCACTGGAGGTGAAGGTAGAGAGTTCCATGGCAGAGGGCCAAAGGGCAGGTGCAGAGATAACTGGAGAAATCTGCAGAGGGGGCCTCTCAAATAGTAATTAACACATCCACAAGGAACTCTCCAAGGAAAAAGTTCAGAGGAAATGGTAACCAGGGCTCAACAAGGTTGGGATCAGAGCTGTTTCCTACCAGTCCATACTAGAAAGTTCATAATCTAAGAGGCACTGGACATGAGGAAAGAAGAGTCTTTCCTCACTCAGTACCACAATAATCACTCTTAGAACAAACACTGTTTTGTTCTCACCTCACAAAACATAAAAGACCCAAACTGTCTTCAGCTATTTGTCACAGAACAATGCTCAAGAATATTTATAGGAATACAAAAATATCCAGCACCCAAACTTACATTTGGCATCCAATAAAAAATTACCAAGTATGCAAAGCAACAGGAAATAATGACCCATACTATGCAGAAAAATCAATTAATAGAAACTTACCCAAATGTGAACATTAGCAAATATGGGTATTAAAAATTGTTACTGGCAATTTATATAAACTTTTAAAACTCCAGAACAATCGAGAAACATGGAAGATTTAAAATGACACCAATTGAACTATAAATAAAGACAATATCTGAAATGAAAAACATTCTATGAGATAAAAAACATAATGGTATTCTTGTCATAACTTCCTGGTAAACTTGGAGCTTCATTTCTATTATTTGTACAAGACCAATTTAACTGTCAATCCCATCATCCAACTACCATTTTTAAAGCTCTGTCCACCAATGACCAATTAACATTTTAGTTATCTGCTGGCCCACAGAAGCAATACAGACTAGACTATCCCTAACAGCATTAAATTGAATTAAATTAACTGAGCATTAAATTTCACAATCAAAATCCAACAATACACTTCAGTCAATAAAAAGGAGACAAAAATCAATAAACACGTAGATTTATTTTAAATCAGTTTGGTACATGATACAGATTGGTTTTGCAGTTTAAAATGAACTGAAATAGAAATTTCTAAATACAGCAGTGTCTGCCTGTGCAACAAATATCTATAAAGTAAAATAAGGCATTTGATAGACCTACATCTGCATGAACAAATCAGATGAAAAATCTGAGAAGATTTCATAATATACCTTCTGGATTAAAAAAACCCAAAAATTATTAATGGCTCAAGATACTACATTGCTAAAGGAAGGGGGGGGGGGAGAGTCAGAAAAGGCTGAGTTCTGTTCCTAGAGCTCATCTGTAGACTTGCAAAATCTAACAACATTATGCTTTTGTTGTTAGAGGAGTGCTCAAAATTATAGAAGCTTCAAATCAAGTCATATTTTCACAAAGTTGCTACATATGCTGAAATTAACGTGTGGCAAGGTTATTCCAGGCAAATGATCATTATACACCGTAGCTAGTTTTTGCCACCTTGTGAGGAATGGGATTCTGTGAATTTTTCAAATGAATTCTACAGCACTCACTAAAAACTAACAGCCATGGCACCATAATAAATTTTGTGAGGTACCTAAATATTACTACTAATGGAAACACAAAAATGTGAGGTAATCTACCTTTTTCCAAAAAATCTTTGAAACCAGAGATTTTAAACAATTAAGGCACTTGAAAATATTAGGTATATGTACAAATGTGCAAGTAAAACAAACTTCAGCTGTACCAACAAGTGACCAAAAAAAAAAAAAAAAAAAAAGCCCAGTAACTCTTCATTTTAAGAACCTTTAATATAATGACCTAAATACAAGTTTTGGTTTATGAAATGAACAAAGGCATTTGTCATTTCCCTATAAACTATTGAAAATCAAGTGCTAAACTCAGCCACTAAAGGCTTAAAAACAAACACACTTAAATGACCTAAAAAAGCAAAAGCCCATTTTAAACTAATTAAAGCCTCTGAACTAATCCAATGTGTCAAAGAAAAGGGAGAAGCAACCCTCTAAAAGTAAGAAGACTAGTGCTTAAGAAACTGTAGAAACAAAAATATGTATGCTTATTTATATTATGGAAGTTGAAACGAAGAAAGAAGGAGAAGAGGAGGGGGAAAAGTGGAAGTACAGTCTACACATCTAGGGCAAGCATCATTAAAAATCTATAGTAATCTGATAAAAAATCCTTAGATTTTCCGAAATTATACTGATCACATCTGCCATCTGAAAACTTAAAATGATTGTCTTATTTAAAGAGCTAATAAATGATTCTTTCTTTTTTACTTCATGAAAGTAGTTACTTTTCAGGTAAGCTTGGTATAAATCCTTTCAAGGTTCATAGTGTTAAGATATTTTTTTGAACACAAAGGAAATATAATTTTATCATAATTCTTTTCAACAGCCCAAAGAAAAATGTTGYGAAATTCAATGTGAAGCTTTTAAACTTTGTAAAATAGTAATTAGCATAAGTTTCTCAGCTCTGGGGAAAAAAAAATAGGTATGCTTTTAATTTAAATATTAACAGTATGATATCTAAAAGCAGATTTACTACTGCTTACATCAACAGTTACAATCTCMAAACCGACTTTTATCTTCCTTAATATCAAAGAACAAATCACAGATTTTAAGTTCAGCCTACTTTTCAGTCTGACTTTTAAGGCACTGTTCTTTATTTTCTCAGTGATATAAGGTGCTTTYTTAAGTATGAATAATATCCTGTTAAACATTAATGGTCTGTATCCTTTCCATTCATTTCTTTAAATCTGGAATGTAATTCCCCATGTAGCATGTTATTTCTAATGTAGAAAAAAATAACTTATCAAGCACAAAATTTTACTCTATGGATACAGTTTAGTACTACTAAATTAATAAATTTATTCCACCTTTGAAATGATAGCCAAAAATCCACCTGATTTGATGCTCATTTGGCACACCTTCTCAATTCTGGCCACTAAATTACATCTTGAATTAGCATAAAAATAATGCAGCTTTCAGGCTTTAAGATAACTTAAACTGCCAAGAGTCAGGAGGTTGTCTGCACCAGACAAYATTCTCCATCACTTATAGAAAGTTACATTTGGCATGAACAGAAACATAATCCCACAGCAGCAGCCATTGAAAATAAAAGACGACAGCCACAAGGATTCATGCAGAATATTTTTTAAATATTCCTGTTAAGTAAAACATTAACTGATTTTTCTTCAGGGATGATGTTCCAAAATATCCTATATGCATCCTTTGGAAATTTAAAGATCCTGGAATAGTGTCTTCCATGTAGGACTTCTTGTAAGATAGTATTTTGGTTTCAGTGAGTTACACAAATGAACTCCCAGTCCTTGTTAATTTAATGGGTCTGCTTACAAAGTATGGTAATTTCGTTCTTTAGATTTGCAGAACTTATAGAGAAAGAAAATTACAGCCTGCACGCCCAAAACAAGGACAATTCCTCCGATGAAACTGGCTGCATCAAAGGTAGACTTCCGTGCAGGTTGTGAGGTTGGAGCCAAAGTGGTATTTGTTGCATCTGATATGATAAAAGAAATAACAATCCTTAGCAAGTCTTGTGATCCTCTAACATAATTACAAGACCCACCTGAGCTTCTGTTTGGCCATGTCAAATTCCATAAAGCATTTCCTTTCAGGTCAAATCTTTACACTAGAACTTATCTCTAACTGAGGAAGACAACTACTTTTCAATTCCATTCATTCTGTCCATAGATATCAAGCGGTTATGCTGCTATATAATGCTTCAAATATGAAAAAACATAAAATCATTTATTTTTCTGGTATATAAATTATGCCCTGGTAACTTTAAACACTTTCAAAATATACAATAATTTTTGTTAGACAATATTTTTTGGCTAATTGCTTGAGTAAATACTAATGTTTTCGTTAAAAATTCATGATATTTGAGTTTTACTACCTATTACAAAGGTAAACAAAATTCAGTTGCGATTCTTCAAGTTATGAAAACCTAATTTATGATTTCAATAAGCAAAATAATTCATGAATAAAAGCATCTTAAATAACAGTTTTGCAATATAAGTATTACYAAGCCATAAGGAAAAAGAACATGAAAATTAGAATTTCTTTTAAAGGAATAAAATGTTTCAAGAGGAAACTGAAAAAAGTAGCATCCATTAAAAGCATTTCATACTCGAAATAAACTTTAATTTTTTCTTAAAATATCATAGGAAAACTGGTTCTTGTGGTTATGTAAGTTGGCCACTTTCAAAATTAATCACAACTGGGGACACAGCTCATTGATAGAGTACTTGCTTAGCATGCACAAGATACTGGATTCGATCCCTCGCACCAAAACAAAACCAAACCCAAAATMGATTACAACTGTTTTCTATTTCTTGTGAAGACAGAATGCCCTCACTGAAACTGAAAGGAAGTATAAGCATGAAGCTTGAGGTATCACAAAAAACAGGTAAGATTTCTCAGCACCAAAACAGCAGTTTAGGCCAGATAGAGGGGTGCATGCCTATAATCCCAGCAACTGGGGAGGCTGAGGCCCTAAGTAACTTAGTGAGATCCTGCCTCAAAATAAAAAATAAAATGGGCTGGGGATATAGCTCAGTAATAAAGTGCCTCTAGGTTAAATTCCCAGGACCAAAAAAAAAGTTCAAAACAGCAGTTTAAAAGGTGGTTAAGAAAAAACAGCAAGGTGCATAACCAGTAGTGATTGTGGCTTTTTAGACCACTCTTGGTAAAAATAATAGTGCTGTATAATCACTTAAATTGTGATGGTCTAATATAGCACACAAACAATCCCTTTAATTAACTGGTAGCCACAAATCAGATTTCACAACTTTTTAAGTTATACTGAAAAGTTTTGGAAAACATTATTATTAATTCTTACAGTGTCAGGCCAAATGTTGRTTAATCATTTAGAAACTTGAAGAGGATTCCCAGTAGAGSTATCATCATTGCTTAAACAGCTGATTACTGTGGCCCTTTAGTTAAGAGATGAGTTTCAATCCATAAAACTGGAAACTGATGGCAAAAAAAGTGAAAAGCAACATTGTATACACACCTAACATCACTATTAGTTTAAAAAGCTTCAATTACCTGATGTGGTAACTGTGGTGGAATATGTAGAAGAGGAAGGCAGAGTTGTGACTTTAGCTGGAAGGAAAACAAAACATATTAAAAAAACACACAAAAACCAAAAAACTTTTTTCTAAATTCCCAATTGTCTAACATCTACCTCTTAAAAGTAATGCTACCAATTTCAAAATGCTTTGAATTCTTTGACAATAGAAGCCTAATTTCAGTTAAAGGTTTACTAACAAATCTACCCATCCAAGAAAACTAGCATTTAAATGAATTTGAAAACATCCAGTAGTCATAAAATTGTATTTAAGTTAAAACCTATGTATGTATGAGTATAAAATACATCAAGTTTGCAAAAAGACAAAGGGCAAGAATACTTAGGAGAGGGGATTAAGAGGTTCTTTGTAAATAATCTTGCTTCTACGACAAAAACTATTAATCATGGTAAGAAATAACTGCAATCTAGTATTTCTTATGCAGGTACCAAGATTTGCCTCTTCACTTCAGGGGTTTACAAACCTTTCTCAAGGAGCAGATAGTAAATATTTGAATCCTTGTGCACCGTGTAACACAAAACAGCCTAAGACAACATGCAAATCAATGAGCATGTTGGGATCCAATAAAGCTTTATTTGTAAGAACAGGTGCCCTTGTTGCCCAAATTTAGAAAGAGCTCAAGGGTAAGCTCTGGTCTATCATACTGCCAGAGACCAAAATACTACTTGATGACGTCTCTAAAAAAATGTACTGAGAAGAATTAGTTCGGATATAAAATTGTTTCAGGAACTTAAGTACCCTATTAAGTGAACTTCAAACTACTAATGCCTATTACCAAGTACCATCAACAAAGGTGCACATACCAATATTAGAAAGGAAGAACTGAACATAATTCATGAAAATTAACATTTTCTTAAGAGTCAAATGACTCAAGAGCTCCGAAAGGTTGTCAAAGCTCACTGGACCACTTGTGAAGTTGTCTTTAAAAAGTTAGGGTTCAATTTCATTTTTTTGGAAAGAAGGTAAAACTCTAGGCAAAGGCTACAGGAATAAGAGTTCCTTATCATGTCCCAAGAAATGTTGTTAGGCTTCATGATATAGGGGCTTCAAGATGAAGATGTGCTTACATGCTGGGCAGCTAAGGATGATCTGGAGGGCAGATGAGGAAGATCCATTACATGAGGCTTATGTTTTTTAAAAATGTAAGGGGCTATAGTTTTTGCACTGTTTCAGAAAAGGATTTCACAACTAAAGAAAATATGACATCAAAATGCTCCCTTCTTTTAAAATATATAAACTGGGATGAAAAGATAAATAAACAAACTGGGATGTATGGCAGTTTGGAATTTTCCTATCTTTTATTCATGTGTCCCTCTCCATCTCAGAGAATAAAGTTCATAAATACTGGAACTGGTTTTGGTACTGATATTCTACTGTTTGGCACTGAGAAAGTATGATTCTCACTTAACACTTTCAGGGCATAAAGACTGCATCCTGATAGCAACATGTATATTTCGTTGACAAATGCTTGGGTATCATTATCGAATCATTGAAATTTCACACTATACCCCACAAATACGGACATTTCAAGTCGGTTAAAAATATATTCTTTTTTTTTTTTTWWAAAAAGAAYACTAACTGAATAGACTTCAAAGGGATATGCTTAATCCATAAAAGGAGTGTCAAATACATGTTGATGAAACAGAAATGAAGCAATTTTTTATTGTATTATATTATCTTTTTAAAACAACCAAAAATTTCTCAATAGGAATAATTATCTCCCAAATTCCACCCATAAGAGGAAGCTCTGTACTTGAAGAGTAATTATAAACCAAGAGTGGGCTTGACAGCTTCAAAACAAAGAATATCACTAAAAGGTACAGAAGTAGAGAGACCAGGTCTCTCACACAGGCAGATCTTTCATATCCCAAGGTTAACAGGATCCTAGAAGGTTAACGTGTTCTAATTTTTACAGAACCACAAGTAAACAGGGAGTTTAATTAATGTTTCTGAAAGCTCTAGCCAAGTTTCTTTCACTAGTAATGATACTAAGAGAAACTAGTAGATGATTGCTAGTCCCACGGATGGGTATGTTCATACACACTTGTAGCTTTCTGTTCTTGCCTGGAGCAATGCTGTATACACTTTTATCCAACTTGCTCTTAACTGAACAATTCTCTCATTTCTCCATTTTTTTTTTGGGGGGGGGGGGACCTGGGAATTGAACCCAGGGGTGCTTAACCACTGGGCTACAACCTCTCCCCCCAAGCCCTTTTTATTTTGAGACAGGGTCTTATTAAGTTGTTGAAATCCTCACTAAGTTGTGAGGCTGGCTTTGAACCTGCTATCCTCCTGCGTCAGCCTCCTGATTGTGAACATCTTACAGAGAAATATCTGGTCTTATTTCTGACAGGGCTGATACTTATATAGGATTCCTAGATTAGAAGGTATGGTCATTTTAAGGCTAATTATTATATCCTTCAAGCTTTTTGTTAATTTGTATGTCTTTTATATAACCAAAACAAATGAACAATAAAAGGCCTTACAAATTAAAGATGCTATAACTTTTCAATCTTAAAACACCTTTACTAATTTTGTTTGACAATGTTAAGGGGGGAAAAAAAAATCAGCAAATTTGCTATTTGACTTTCACGATCTGCTCTCAACATGATAAAACATTCTTTTTTGTATATAAGCAAAACATTTACACATTTTTAATTTTGAGAACAGTACTATGTTGACAATATTTACAAAATAAGGCAATACTTAGGGAATACGCATCTATTGATCTACTATATGTTCTTAAAAACAACAAAAGCTGGACACAGTGGCACATGCCTGTAAATCTGAGAGGCTGAGGCAAAAGGATTGAAAATTCTACATCGTTTTAGGCAATTCAGTAATATCCTGTCTCAAATAAAAAATTTGGGTTGGGGATATAGCTGAATGGTAGAGCTGCCGTGGGTTCATATCCCAGTACCTGGGGTTGGAGGGTTGGGGTAGGGAACACCACCATAAAACAAAAACTTCATAGGTGGTGATAAAGAGAATTTAGAAAATACAATGAAGATATATCTCCAAAATAATCTGGTCATTCCATTGTTAAAATAGATATTATTTGTACTGGAGGGGTATTATAATTAACCCAACTGCATACTTTCCACACACACACAAAAAAAATCAAGTTTTCTTTGCAGCACTGTTTCCTTAACTATCTCATAATTTACCTCTTGCTCCCTTTAGCAGAAGCAATATACACAAAACCACGGAAAAGAGACCTCCTAAGGATTTTCAATTAGTAAGCACCAACTGATGGCCATTTTCTGTAAGCAAACTCTGGCCTCCTCCTATCCTACAGAACCAAAGACAGAAAAAACAAGAGACCCATGGCAGTTCACAGGAGGACCCAGGGTGAAGCAAGCTGCAAAGAAACTACATTAAGAGCAGATTCATAGGAGAAATTAAATGAACCCAAGTGCTTTGGGGAAAATTGTCTTCCCTTATTTTCCTTCCTGTGCTTATATTGCAACTTTGGGAAATTAGCTTCCTCCCAACACTCCAAATTTAGCAGCCTTTAACATCATCTTTCGTCGATGATTTCTAACAAGTGCTTGGTTTTTGAACAAACCATTGTGTAAGTTAYAGCATTAGAATACTTCTATGGCATAAGAATTTTCATTGTAGCTGATTTTGAGTTACCAAAATGACATCACTGAAGTCAGAGTTAGAGACACTGTGTATACGTGGTTAGCAAAAGGTGGTCCATCAAGATCCAACACAAACTGCCCGAGTCTTTCAAAATGAGTTCTTGTCCTTGTTACAGCATTTCACTACTTTTTCCTTTGAAAAACTACGTTTACACCCATACACTGTTAATTTCTTGGACACACTTCTCTGGGATTTCTTACTTTCATGCCCATCCCTACCCAGTTCTCTTCCCAAACCCTAGTCCTCTTGCCACCCCTTAGGCAGTACTGTCCCCTAGAGTTTGATCCTTAAACCCACCCTCCATATGTTCCTCCAGCAGCCTCTACTAYTATCTATGATTGTTGTAATTTTAGCCAAGAACTCTCTTCAGGATTGGTATCCTGAAAAAAATTCCCAAAGATAGCCTCAAATGCATTGTGCTTCCTCCTTCTTGCTGACTTTGGTAAAACATCTTTTCCATTCCACCTCCCACACCCTCAGTCATCAAGCCTTAATCCTTGCACTTTCTAAGCCTTTTTGCATGCATCTACAGCTCTTCCTTATTGGTATTCTAAATTACTATATCAGAGTACCTAATTTCCATGAATCCACTTTAGTGGTCTTCTACTACTCTCCACAGGCCAGAGTTAATTAAGTCTTTTTATTAAAATGCAAGTCTGATCATATGACCTACATGCTTGAAATCTTTCAAGATAACATCTAAATCTACCAGCAAGGGATATAAAAGCATTTCCCAATCCCACTGTTGACTGTCCAGCTTACTGTCATTTTGTACCAGACACTCCTTAAGCTCACTATACTCACATATTCTTAATATGTGCTAACGACCCTGCTCTGTCYGGAAAGCTTTCCCCATGTTTTACCAGCATCATTTCAGTCAGTCAGTCAACATCTCCCACAAGCTGTCATCTTATCCATTGTACCACCCAACACACATATATCACCTTCCTACAAACTCTCCAACACACTATGCTTACTGACCTTATTCACCATTTCTACAAAAATGCTAGCTTACTTTTGCCTTCTTTTATTATCTCCTAATATTTGTTCTGGAATAGATGTGTTTAATATTGGCAAAATATAGTATTTACTCTTCCTATCAAATCAGACTGAGGATGTGGTAGAAAATGTTATTAATGGAAATGAGAATCACAAATATTCCTGAAAAGCAATTCAGTACTGAGCCTTAATCATGCCCTCTGCCCTAGGAATTGATTTTGACTCAATTCCATCAGACTGCAAATAGACATAGACAATGAAATAACACAATTGTCCAACCGAGAGCACAATGAATAATGTACCACAACTTTAAGAAAGAAAACAATACCAAAGTATATGAGCATACCATCCACTTCATAACAAGTATATTTATTTAAACAAACACACAGAAAAGATAGGAAGAAATTAATCACTGAAAATTTTCTGGTGTATCTCTGGATGACTGTGGAGATTTAAACTTCCTTTGCATTCCTGTATTTTTCAAGATATCTACAACATCCATAAAATGTATGGATAGCAAATCTAATAAGATTCACTGTATGTAGAACACTGGAGCAATGTTACTGTCACAAACAGTACATATTTATGTAGCTATTATGGTCCAACACTAAATAAATCTTTAAAATTATACTAACAACTTTTAGGTATTTAATTATTAAAAAGTTACCCATCAAGAGAGTTTAAAAAACCTGAAAGATGAAGTCAGAAAAGAATCAAACATCTTGAATTACCTGTAGAATTAGTTGGCACTGGAGTCGTAGTAGGCACTATAAAAATAAAAAACAATATACTTCAAAGTTGTCTAAAATATTATAATCTTAACACAATTTTACAATCTGCAATTTAAATATGTTTTTACAATATAAATACAAATAGAAAAGAATGACCATTTCCCCCGCCTAATACCACTATCCTCTTCTTTACAAATAGAACCACCATTTCTTAGCCTCTCCTGCCACTAAGTAACCAACTTCTACCAAGCACCTTTATTAAGGTAGATACAGGCTCTCATTTTCCTTCCCCTTTTCTGGTAGCAGAAAAATTAACATGATAGCTAGAATATGAGCATTGACCTTGAGGAATGACAGAGTGAAAACTAAAATGAATGTGGGTCCCTAATGGCTGTCACTCTAGACCTCTAACTGCACTCTAGTCCAGACTTCCTTTACATCAGAGAAAAAAATCTGTCCCTGCTTAAACCACTATAATTTGATGGGATTATGTCACAGAGAGCAAAACATAGTTCTAACTACTACATTATCAAATAAACGTTACCTTTTCAATTTTTCTTTAAATTGATAGTTTAAAAAATATTTTACTTAAGAAAAAAAATATTTTATKTAATCTTGTCTCCAAGCAATTTATGAAATCAAAGGCTTGACAATTCGTTTTTTCTAATACACATTAAAATAACTATTAAAATGTATGTCCGCATCCCACCTAATCTACATTTTACAGAGTAAAACACACCTAATGCTAATGAAAGCCCCAGTTATAAAATTCATGTTGTGATGGGGAAATCCTGTCAAAGACTGTCTGTGAAGGTTACTGACACACTCCACAAAATTAATTATCTATGTGCCAAATTAGGAATCTTTCCCATTAATTTATACTCTTTTTAAAAGAACAGCTGTTTCAGTTAGGCACTGTGGTGCACRACTGTAATCCTAGCAGCTAGGAGGCTGAGGCAGGAAGATAGTGAGTTCAAAGCCAGCCTCAGCAAAAAGCAAGCTGCTAAGCAACTTAGTGAGACCCTGTCTCTAAATAAAATATAAAATAGGGCTGGGGATTGTGGCTCAATGGTTGAGTGGCTCCGTGAGAGAGTGCCCCTGATACAAAAGAAAAAAAAAAAAAAAACCCCAAAACAAACAGCTGTTTCAACTACAAATCTTAATGATTTGCAGGGCAAAGAAAAATCAAGTTCTTCAAAGTAAAACTGTAAAAAGATGAACACAGAAGTTTATTTAATCATAATACAAACTATGCTGGAGACTAAAATGTGACATTACTAGAGCCTATAAAATACAAATAAAGATGGGGTGGCTAAACTTCAGTGAATTCCAGGGGAGAGGGGACAAAAGAAAAAGAGTAAAAATATCTATACACTTATATCACTCCAAAGTATAGTTATGTCATTAAAGCTTCAAAGTACCATTTCATCAATCAATATGAATATGCCATTTATAACCAAATTTCTAATATTAGAATTATAGCAATGCTAACAAAACATTGAAACAAGGCTTTGAGATAATTATTTATCCCGCTGTGGCCATTAGCCCCAGCAGACAATGTGAAGACTTACCAGAACAGAAATCAGTGTTGTTCCCGATGCTACAATTACTAACTGGTGGGTTATATGAACAGCGGCTCATATTTGCTATGGAAAAAAGAGACAAAAAACACCAGTTACTCACATCTTTGAATTTGCTACTAAGCTCTGTAAGAATTCAAAATCCTGACATAAATACTTTAAAAGTCCACAGACTAATAAATACTATTTTCCATTTCTAATTTTCTTAGAGATACGACACAGGATCCCTCCAAATTACACCCTTTTAAAAAATCTTCATGAGTATACAGATAAATCTGAAACAATTAGATCTCAGAATTGTGATACAAACTACTACACAATCAATAGAGACAGTCAGAAATCTACGAAAGAGGATGGAGTTGGTAAGACGTTGTCAAGGTCTTTTAATAAAGGATTAAGTAAACAGGAGGTGCTCCATAGCAGCAAGGGAACCTCTGTTCCAGCCCTCCCCACTTTACTCCTTTGTAATGTCTTTCTCTTTTTTTTTTGGTGGTCCTGGAGATTGAAACAAGGGCCCTGCCCAAGACAAGCTAGACAAGTGCTCTTTTAGTGAGTTACATCCCCAGCCCCTTCTATACTTTTTTTTTTAAATATTTTTTTAATTGTAGGTGGACACTATATCTTTATTTTTGCTTATTCATTTTTATGTGGTGCTGAGGATTGAACCCAGGGTCTCACACTTGGGAGGCAAGCATTCTACCACTGAGCTACAATCCCAGCCCCACTTCTGTACTCCCTAACATAGCTTTCCTGTATCGACAGACTTGGAGCAACAGGGGGCTGATTGCACTGTGAATGCCTATAATCCCACTTGGAAGGCTGATGCAGAAAGATTGTAAATCAGGGCCTAGCTTCAGCAACTTAGCCAGATCCTGTCTCAAAATAGATTTTTTTTTTTTAAATGTTGGGGATATAGCTTAGTGATAGAGCATATCAGAGCGTATTAGTATGTTCTAGGCCCTGGGTTCAATTCCTAGCATTTCTCTTTCTCTCTGTGTCACATACACACAGAGAGCAGGTACAACCTTGAATTTAATGTTATAATCTAAAGTGATTTACGTAACAAAAAAGTTAATTTAGCCCCAAATCAATACCTTAGTTTAAAATAGCTTTTTGAACTTTATGTGACATAAATTCTTCAACTATTAAATTTCCACTGAAGAATAAAGCAACGTAACGTGATCTTTCATTAAAAAAAAAAAAAGAAAATGGCTGTTTTGTCGATAAGATAAAAATATGCAAGCTGGTCCAGTGGCACTTGCCTGTAATCCCAGCTGCTCAGAGGTGAGGTAGGAAAGAGGGTTTCGAGTTCAAAGTCAGCCTCAGCAATGGTTAGGCACTAAGCAACTCAGTGARGCCCTGTCTCCACATAAAATACAAAATAGGTCTGGGGATGTGGCTCAGTGGTCATGTGATGCTGATTTCAATCCCCAGTACCCCCCCACAATAAATGGCAACCACATTTATATTAAAAAATAAAATAAATAATTAATGTGATAAATCCATGATTCTAGCAAAAATTTTATCCACA